AATTGGTCAAAAACAATATGGAAATAAAGGCGCTGTTAAAAGCAATGCATATCAATTCAAATTCGAACCGGATAGGTTGTGGAATCGAGTTTAAATGGAGTGAACTTCCAAAAATAGAAGATCATTTAATTCTTCAGTTATTCACAGTAGAAACAATTGACCAAGCCAAACAATTAATTCAAGCTGGTAGTTATAGAGAACCTTGACTAAATTAGGAATATGCTATTAACTCCACTCTTGCTTTCAAAATATTTCATTATTTTCCTTATATTAAATGTACAAGATTATGTATATATACATATGCAAATTAGAGTAGCTCTTGGGGGTGGGTATGGGTGCGTGGGTGTGAGTGTGAGTGTGAATGTAGACATGCGTGAAGAGAAAACCAACACCCACACCCATTTTTTCTATATGGATAAAAACTGTTAATTTGAATTAGAATTATAATCGAGGTCGAAGAAAGGTTTTTCTTTTCTGTTGCTCCAGAATACAGTCCAAGACAATTGAAATTATGCGCTTTGTTTTTTTTTATTATACATTTTTTATCTCTTAATGTACTATGTGTAGAGTATATAATGGGGCATCTAATACCAATTAGAACTTAGAACAAAAAAAGGCACTCGATTTCAAATTGAAATGGGGGTATAGAGACGGGTCTTTAGAATTATTCATTTGAATAATTCTAAAGATCCTTTATACCCGCTATCACCTACCTCAAAGAAAGCAGATATACACCTATCTATTCATATGAATCATTCTACAGATTCCCGATATTCTCCTTTCGATTTGAAATCGAGCGTTTTTTGTTTTGGGTGTGGGTGTGGGAGGGTGTGGGTGAGTGTGGGTGGGTGTGGGTGTGGGAGGGTGTGGGAGGGTGTGGGTGAGTGTGGGTGGGTGTGGGTGTGGGGTGTTGGTGTGAGTGGGTGCGGATGTGGATGACTTCTCCAATGATATCTACACCCACACCCACACCCCACCCCACACCCCACCCCACACCCCACCCCACACCCACCCACACTCACACCCACACCCCACACCCACACCCACCCACACTCACACCCACACCCACCCACACTCACACCCACACCCCACACCCACACCCCACCCCACACCCACTCACACCCACACCCACACCCATCCACACTCACACCCACACCCTGTAATGGTGGGTGTCTGTAATGGTGGGTGTCTGTAATGGTGGGATGTCTGTATTGGGGAGAGGGGGGCTGTCTGTAATGGGGACCTGCGTTGCTATAGTCTGTAATGGTGGGGGCCTAGGGGGAGCCGCAAAAACTCGATTTAAAACTTACACTCACTATTTTTTTCGAAAATATATGTGAGTTCCACAAAGAGAGAAAAAAGAAAAATAAGTAAAACCTTTTTGTGTTCTACAAGCAACATAAGTGTCCTTCGACAAACAAACGACACGCCTCACATACATAAAATTCAACCAACTTAGAAGTCGTTGTTATTGGAATTTTCATAAAAAAAGAAATTTTTATTTTGATTATTGCATCTTGGTAAGTAACTTACGATCATGGCTCCTAAGCAGATCTTCGAGTTTTTAAAACGTGATACGTCTAACGGTTGTATGACTAGGATATTAATTACAAAGAATCGAGAAAAAAATTAAACGAATATTCATCACGGATTTCCGTTTATCTGATCAACTGATGATTTCGTCTTAGTCAGAAGTCTAACGAGTGTATATACCCGTATCCATTACAGTTTTATTGATTAAATCGTTCTTTTTTTTAGAACTTTGTCCACATATTAGATAATTAACTTTCTACGTTTGTGTCTCGTTCTATTAATGACCTTTTCGTAATTCGAAGTATTGAAATAATGCAACGGGTAATTTCATAAGATAAGGACTAAAGACGATGCTTTCGTGCTTAGAGAGTTTGCTTATAAAGAAGAATGAGTGGATCGTTAACAGCGAGTGAAACTTTTGGGTAAGGGTGTGGGTGTGCGGTACGGTCGAAAAAACAAGCTGCACTCGCTCACCCATACCGACATCCATCCAAACTCACATCCATCCTCATGATATGTGAACTAAAGGGTGTGGGTGTGGGTGTGTCGGCTTGGGTGCGAATGTGGGTGGGGTGTGGGTGAAGCGTGGGTATGTGTGTAGCTTTTCTCTCTACTCATATCCACACCCATACCCACATTCATACCCAACCACAGCCGCAGACACACACTCACACCTCCTCCCCCCCAAACACTCACACCCACCCTTATGATGAGGCAAAAACCGATCTCTTCATCTTCAATCTCGAATCTCAACCAAGTGACAACTTTTCATTTAATTAAACAATGACAAGAACAGATATAGATTGTTTGATTTACATAAATCTTTAATGATAATATTTCTTCTTCTCGAATAAATTTCTAATCGAACTATCATTTATTTCTCGTATTGAGACGCATTTATTCACCACACACATGCATTTTCTTATTTGATTTTAATATATAACAATTTAGGATTATTTTAGAAGTTGTTTCCTCAATTTTCATTATTCGATATTCAGTGTCATTTTCAGTAGTGAGAAAACATTACCGATCTGACGGTTGAATACAGTTTTTAATATTTTTTATTTTGAAATATTTGTTACATATAAATCATCTGAATCCAACAAGAAAGAAAATGAGGGTTGAACTATAGCGAAAAGAAATTTCCGTTTATTGATTATGAAATAATAAATCTTAAGGAAATGAGAAACTTCTCTTTCATTGATTGAACAACCGAATATGTTACGATCGCAATAAAAAATAAATGTGGAAACCTCGGATTTAAATCCGAGAGTTATGTGTACTTCAAAAAGTGAACGAGACAGATGAGTCACCCTAGAATGTGTGGACATCAAAATTGTTCTGGCAAACCCTTTCTGTAAACACGTAATTTCTATAGGCTATTACTCAGCCAATACGATTTGGAGACAAATACAGCTCAGATTTGAACTCTTCACTTTGATTTACCCTAAGAAACTCGTTTTTCCTATAACTTGATTTCTATTGGTCACTGCTCAACCAATGGGATTTCGAGGCGAATGGAACATAGATTCGAGTTCTCCATTCTAGAAAACCTCGGACTATCATCTCTGTGATGGGAAGATAGAGCTCTAATTGTGGATCATATAGAGCGTGGATAAAAACAGAACCGAATTCCGATTAATTATCTTTGCAATAGGCGAGCTAGCTTTCTTGTTTCTTTATGTTTTATATACCATTGTGTAGCTCGTAAAATTTTCTATCGAATGGTATATAATAGTTGGGGTTTTATTTGGCTATGATAGGAAAAGTTTTTTATGAAAACAGAGAAGGGTCTATCTTCTCATAGCGAAAAATGACTATTTTTGCAATAACTCAGCAATGGTTCAACCAATCATTCTCATCTTCGAACTCGATCGAGATATTGTTAAGACTAAACTGTGCAGAAAATTTCATCGCGATCGGACTCTTCTTTCAAAAGTTATCGTGTAAACGGCCGGACGGCCGGACATACTGACCGATTCTAGAGTGTACTCACTTTTTGAGTACACAAAAACTCTGAGTTTGATCAATTAAGAAACTCATAATGAGTAATTATCGATTGAACAATATATGTGATATAATCGAAGATAAGTCAATGTAATCAATCGATTTAATCAAATTCAACAACATCAAAAAAGAGATAACTTTAAGAATCCAATTTTTGGAATTTATCGTAGTTTTGGCTTTTCATTTTTGTTCGAGCTACTTTCGTTGAAACTATTGATCAACTATCGTTAACAATATTTGTTGTGTTGGATAATTAGTTGAATGTTTCCTGTCAAATTTTATCATTGGAAATAACGTGAAAATTGTCTTCTTATGATCATAGTTTAACTTTTTCAGATAGTATCAACAATCAATTTAATATCCAGTGAAATCGAATTGAAAATTAACTCTCTTACCAAAATCGATTATTTATCAGATGATAGAATGATATTGAAAACTAATTGAATCGATTAATCTACTTTCTTTTTAAAGATGACTAGTTATACGACTTTAAACATAAATTTACAGATTTTACTGATTTTGTCATTTTGAAGAAATCTCTGTTGGTCTCCTCACATTAAAGTATCATTTATTATTTTGTTACAGTTATATTGTTTGATTGAAATTTCCATAATTAAATAAATATGAATAAATCTTGTTTTGAAAACATTATTTATTCTTCATTTATTTTCACATGATGTACTTTGTCTCAAGATCACATGTCTCTATAATAAAACTTCATCTATAATGAAACACAAATATTCGATATTCATGCTCACTGGTATTGGATGAAAGACAACAACGCTATGATTTCTCTCTTCGAAAGGTGAATGAAAGATTGAAGAGTAATACAGGTAAGGGTCTTTGATTGGTGCTTAAGAATGGCATGAAACTATACAACCAGAATATTCTTTCATTGATGATGATCAATATTTATTTTATAATTTTATTGTGATTTGATAAGCATAAAATGTGACTAACTCTCGATTCAATTTGTGTAAAATGATTAAAAGAGTAACTTGTTAATTTTGAGAATAACAGATGAAAACATTTCTCATGGACGTGTAAAGCACTATTAAAAATAAAACGAATGAGTATAGAACTGTAATGAAGAGATTTTTTGATTTACAATTAAAATGAAAAAACCTCTTCATTCCGGTTCTATATTCTTTCGTTGCATATTTTATTCTAATTGTAGTATCACATAATTACGATTAAGAGTGTCGTCGATGAATCGATCTGATAAGTTCAAATTGATTCGTAACATTCCACTGCGACAATTGCCAGAAAATCGATCTGGTATTACTTTGGTTTGGCTTGAGAATACATCGTGTTCTTCATGCAATGACAATCAGATTCGATTGCATAATTTTAGCAATCGATGTTTTATTGTTTATTATTCAAATCTATCAAAATGTGTTAAATACTTGAAACACGTTCGATCACGTGAATATATTATTACTGTTATTATGTCATATCCAATGGAAACAATTCAACGCATCATTCATCAATTTCAACAATATCGCGTTATACAAACAATATTCGTTGTATATTCTGATGGAAATACAGCTCATCATCTGTCGTCAATAATCGATAATCTTCATATCTTTCAAACTCAAGAATCAATGTTTGAACTTTTAGAAAAACGAATTGAACAAGTTGAGAAACAAAATTTAAGTGGCGGCTTATTTACAACTTTCTACCGTACAGAAAAATCTCTGAAAGATGTTAAAAAAGATTTGGCGACATTTGTTTGGACTCATGTATTTAAAGGTTTGTGTTTCGAAAGTGTTTATCCAAAAACTATTGCTGTTGTATATTTAGTTCTTTTGATGAGTATGCCTCGTGGCTCTCTTCAAGCGAAATATGAGATGTTAAGCGAATGTCGAGCTTATTATCAAAATGATGTTGTTCAATTAGCTCAAATTGATGAATTTGAACGCACATATCAATCAAAAGATGCTATTCGTTGGTATACAAAACCTGGAGTCTTGTTTTATCTTGTTAATAAAGCTTTACGTAGTCAAGATATTTGGGTTATGTATAAATTTCGTTATTTTATTGTTGATTTATGCTGTTGTTTGGAAGAAGTTTCCAATTCACAGTCTTTTTCATCGGTTCGTCTTTATCGTGGAGCAAAGCTCAATCGAGACGAACTCGAACAACTGCAAGTTGGTTGCCTTATATCAACTAATGGATTTTTTTCATGTTCATCAGATCGTAATGTAGCAGAAATGTTTATTAGTATTGATCTCATGACTGATAGATCGTCAAGTCACAATCCAGACGCATGGCAACAGTTCGTTTTATTTATCATTGATGTCGATCGTAGAATATCTACGAATACAGTTGTAGCAGATGTCAGCTATGAAAGTGATTTACCAGATGAAAACGAAATGATTTTTAACTTCGGATCAACTTTCATTATCAATGAAATTAGTTTTGATAACGATAAGTGCATATGGTTGATTCAAATGAGTTCATCTTCGGACAATATTCGAATAAATGATGAATACGAGAAATATATTCATATACGTCTTCAACACACCAATCCGGCTATGCTGTTCGGTCATGCTTTAGCTAATATATGCAGTGATTATGCTCAATCAATGATTTATTTCCATCGTTTACTAAGAACATTACCTATAGATGATGTCGAACGACCCAATATTTATTATAATTTAGGACGTATTTATCAATTTATTGAGAAATTCGAAAAATCTCTTGATTGTTTTCGATGTGCTCGATTACTCATTTGTCGTCTGTTACCGGAGAGAATGTTTGATTATTGTCGTATTCTAGGTGGAATGGGCACTGTGTACTTATATTTGGGAGATTCGGAACGAGCATTAAAATTACTCAGACAAGCTTTAGCACTTCACAAGAAATCATTCCCAGAAAATCATACAGAAATTCCATTTCACCTGAATCGTCTGGGCTATGGTTATTTCAAAGCCAAACAATATGATCATGCACTTTTGATTCTCAATAGTGCCGAGAATTTTTTCCAGAAAAAAATGCCTGTGGATCATCAAGGATACGCCCAGACTTTGCATTCAATGGGTTTAGTTTATCATGGTTTTGGTGATGATACAAAAGCATTGATATGCTTTCAAGAAGCATTACGCCAACGACATTCATTACTTGGTAAAGATCATCCTTATCTTGCATCTACTTATTATCAACTTAGTCTCATACATAATAATCGTGCTGAATATGAAATAGCACTTGATTATGTTCAAAAATCTCTAAATATCCAATTAATAAAATTGCCACACTCCCATTCCGAACTAAAACTATCAAAAGAACTTCTTCGACATCTTCAGCAACACCAATAAAAGGTCTCGAATTAGTTTTCTATCATTGAGATTATAGTTAATGTTTGTCCATGAATTAAAAGAGATTTCATCGTACTTAATGAAGATTCTCATTTGAATTAAATCTTAACTCTAAACAATATTATTGTCATACTGGTATTTCTACAGTCATAATCGAGACAGAACTGATCGAAATGTTTGTTTCATCAATGTGTTTAAATAATCTATACACTATTACTGACTGATTTAGTTCTTTAAAGATTACTCACTTGAAACGGAGAATAATTGATGAACAATAAAGTTGATTATGAATAAGTGAATGCAAAAGATTATTGTTAACAAGAATACGTTAATGTGTCTGAAGGTACTCTTTAAAGATGAACATGTAAGATATCTTAAGTCAAGATTCAATTTTTTCCTCGAAGAATTCGCTCTGAAGTTGAGCCAAGTAGAACTTGACGAAGTCAACAAAATGAACTACCTATTTTTCCGATTTGAACAAACCAGTTCATATCACGACTCAATACTGAGTTTAACGTACGACTTGTGTAGTTGAAATTAGAGGAAAGGACTGTTATTTAGAAGCCATATAGCAAATCTGTATAAAATTTTAAACAACTACTATTAAATCTTTACACAAAAATAGGCCCTGTTAGTTTTTGTATCTAAAAAGTTGATGATCTATTCGTATCAATTGTTTTATATGTTGTTGACTAGATCAAGTATACAACTTCGATTTTTTACACAAATAGAAAGTATTTCGCATGAAATTTCGATTGGTGAATGGCTCAATACTATGCATTGCTGGTTATTGTACCAGTAATTAAATAATAGGTAATCTAGATGGCATTCAGA